ATATTTATTCATTCAATTTCTTCACTTTTGTAACAATAATTATTTAATGTATAGTACACTACTACCTGAGATAGTGTTGATACCGGTAAATGCAGCTTCACGGAGTACAAAACCAAAACAAACCTCCCGGAAGTGGCCAAGCAAAGTCACATGCACAATAATATCGCGGATTCTCGTGGCACAATTATGCTAAACATATCTTTTAAGCCAACTAATCAATAATCAGTTGTCTTTGTATTTCACATGTGTCTCGTTCTTGCAAACTAGACCTCAAAGCTACTCTACGAGAGACAGAACGTTGCAAATGAAGGAAATCGATTTATGTCACATGACTTGTACTGCGAGACTTCAAAATGGCCGACGGTGGGCGAGCTCTTGCTCTTCCTTGACGGAAGAAAACTTGAAAAATGCACTTGTTACCCATAGTTATTTAATCTGTAAGGTTTTTGATAAGGAGATATAATTATGGAGGCGCGCGGTGCACGTTTAGATCGTCGGCATTTTACTCTGACCACACATCAGGTACGTATCAGGTGCATCTGAAAAATAAAGATTGGAATGGCCAAGATTGTGAAATACTTGAATTAATGAACCTAAGCATCTGATTTATTCGCTTTTAAGATACCACATTTTGTAAATAATTTACGAAACACTGTTCTGGGTACCAGGTTTCCGTGCAATGCACTGTGGAGGTATGGATAGGATACGCAAGGATTTCGTTTACGGGTGCAGCACTTTCCTACCCTTTACCCCCCTCCCCTTCGTTACTTCCCCTAGATATTATGATTAACATTTTAACATTACATACGTTCATACTGCTCAATAGTAATGTTTTTGGGGGTGTCATTTTACAGACAGAACTATCTTGTACTTGTAAGGATTCCAGTATAAATAGTGAAGCATCAATGAACCAAAACAAAACAATGACAGTAATTATCAGTCTAACGTTAATTCTAAATTTGTCCATTTACGAGGGAAGGGGTAGCATACATCGTTATAAGCAGCAATTGGACCCATCTGATCTGCTAAAACAGCCTTGTATGTCCAGAATTTACATGTAACCTTTTGAGACGTTGAGTTGGATTTCCACGCTAAGATTTCAATTCAGCTATTGCACTTACTTTTTCCTTACAGAGAAGATTACGGCATCTGAAGAGTATAGCTGCAAGAAATTTAATGGTTCCCAATGTATCTGAGCTAGATGTGGCTTCTCTACAGACATACTTCACCTTGCATACTAAGACCCAGGAACCGGGTGAGGAGAGCTGACTGTCACACTGAAACACTTTTTAAATAGTTATTAAAATGAATTACATACAGTATATGTAGGTCAGGCATATTGCTTTCTTTCAATCAAAATTAATCTGAAGACTTTATGTGCCTAAATATGCAGGCTAGTTGCCCTTCTAGAACAGAATTTTCAAAGCTTTTACACTTATGGTATTATTTTAATGTTGTAACATTTTTGATTTCAGAAAATTGATTATTATATTGCATAACTTTTCAAGACACTTTGTTTGTCTGTTGTAGCCTTTATATAAATTAGAATAGTCATTCACATGTGTTTAGATTTAAAATTAATTTTGCATTTTAACTGTTTTGCAGCTTTCTACACCAGTGAGAAAATTCGAGGTTCATTGGTAAGTAAGTGTCAAGATATTAGCTCATACACTGAGATGACGTTCTTCCCAAATGATCTGGAAGTCTGGATAGTTGGGTGTCGTATCTATGCCTGTGGAGCCTTTGGTATTTTCAATTTCCCAATTATATTTTTAAGGGCCACTTTCATACTTAAAGTTATTATGAGAATGAGATTGAAAACTAAATTTTATAATCAAAAAATTTGAAGTGTTACTTTGAGAGTCTGAGATTACAAACATTTAGCATAATCTCTGACTCCTAACTTGTAAGAAGAACTGTATATTTAAGTCACAGTTGTCTATTAATATGGTTAATGTATTTTTGGCCATGCAAGTACTAGTACTTTGTCTGTCATTAACATAGAGTTTTGTGGTTTAATTTCAGAATCCAAGCTGGCGTGGGTTCTTGCTGACACACCTAACTGAGGAGGTGGACACCACTTCTACTTGTATCCTTACACTAAGTCCTAAACAGTGGGGTAGTGATGCAGTGCAGAACAAACTTGTTTTACTGTTTGCCAAGTTGATCCTGGATAATATTTTAACCTGGCCTTAATTCTCATAGAAGATCTTGAGTCGAGTATACTGGGAAGTGTTATTGAAATATTCTTCAAATGTATTATCATTGTTTTGATTTTGTTAAAAGTACTTACATATATTTGCTTTTTAAGAACCTCTTCCATTGTAACATAAAGCACATATGTTGAATCCAGCATTTAAACTCTAATGTGTTTTAAAATTAAAATTTTCAAAAAAATGGATCATATTTTCCTCAACACTGGTGCTAGCTGTTATAGTCAAGGTGTGGATTTCAGAAGAAGGGAAATCCCCTCATGTCCTTCTCCAATGGGACGTCCACTTTTCTGGACTTGTCTACATCGCTGACAAGGTAAGCTCTAAATTGAATGTTCAATATCAAAATTTAAAATAAAGCATGTTTATCATAGTTCTTTTGTTATATCAGGCTAGTTGACTGTTGCCTTTGCTGGTAAATCCTAAAATAGGTTACAAATAAACAAACAAATAAATAAATAAATAAATGAATAATTGAATGATAATATAAATAAATCCAATTTGTAGCTGTAAGAAATGATCATAATTTCACTGTTTAGCAAGTTTGCTGATTTAGATAACTTCTGTTCATATTTATACTTTTTTGTTCAGATCCAGAAAGATGGCAGGAAGTATAAGGGAAACACTTTGGTGTTTGGGATGTTTGATGCTTACTTTGGCCCTACAGAAGAACTTCAGAAGGTTGAAAAAAAATGCACTTGGTCTATGTTAGAGAATAAAGCAATCCTTATCTTCATATCTGTCTTGGATTTGGAAAAATGATAAATTTACTGGTGTCGGTTAATTAGAAATGAGTGCACAATTTACAAGGTGTTTGTAATGCAAATTTATCAAATATGGTCTTAGAGGCAGTTAAAAAGCAAAAAAAAAAAAAAAGCAACTGACTAAGTGAATTTTACTTTATTTGTATTAATAGATTATACATGTAAGTATTTATAAATTATTTTTTATTATTTTTCCATTCTTCAGCCCAAGCAACAATCTTTGACCTCAGAGTTTATGAAAGTAGACCATTCCAGTGTAAGGTCTTCCTATACTATTAGTTCTTTGTCCAGGTAAGATCATAGCTCTAAGACCCCATTTCCAGAGATTAGATCGATCTACTTTAGATCGACCTAGCTCCCTGGGGGTTCACGCTAAATAGCTGTCAACTGGGCGGACACGAAAGTTAATTACCCCCTTACAGCTTGTAGTAGGCGGGACGGACATTTAAGCCGGATTATCTGACAGTAATCTAGTGAGACTCCCCGCGGGGATAGATCGATCTAAAAGCTCTGGGAATACAGCCTAACTCATGCCTTGTATACAACCTAAACACTTGAACCTATTTCGTCCAAGACTAGCTAGCTAGAGCCGTGTGCGGTCATGTTTTGTTTTCTAGAATTATAATTATAATACCAAAGCTTTAATTAATATGACTGATATTCTGCTTTTCTGTATATATTTGTTGATAATGTACAAGCAACTGTTCATATCATAATATGATTCCTCAAACTTACAGATTTAAGCAGATAGTTTGGAACTCTTATGATTCTGAATAAAGTTTGTGCTTGTTTTTTTTTTAATTTCTTGGTAGTTTTCTGCCCTGAGCCCCCCACCCCCAACCCCACCCCACTGAGCCATTTTCTCCTGTTTTTTAAAGCTCAAAATTATGCCTGTATTTATGGATTTAATGTACATTATTTTCTGTGCCATTCAGAATAGTCACCATACTGCGTGCTATCAAGCAGACCCAGGCCTCAGTGAAGAAAGTGAGGGGCTGTATAGAGGACACGCTGGTGTCTTCACTAACCAGATCCAAGAAGGTGAGGGGTTCTGATCAAAACAAAGGTATTGATGAAACTTGAAAGTTTTTGAACAAAAAAAGGGATTGAAATCAATGATTCCTTAACACATACCTACTAGTGATACTAGGTCTTGTCTTGATATGCAGACATATTGGACTTTACTTCTCTTTATTTTATATCAACTGTGAAACTATTATTTATAATAATATTGTACTTAAACCAGAAGGTAAAAGTATGATTAAAAAAGGAAATTACTTATTATAAATTAAATAAGATGAGAGAGTTCGGGTAAGTAATAGTGGAATTTTGATAATGGTGTGATGACTCTCACTGCCTTATTATGACAGTGGCAAATGAAAAATAACTGATCTGAAGCTGCGCGTAAATTGTTCAGGCCCAGAGTGCGAGACCACAGAATAACCAGTGTCTGTATAAAATTAAAATGTAAGAAATTGCCCTTATTATTCTTTCCTTATTTTGTGTGTATTTTCAGCTGTCAGAACGGGAAGTCCTGATTCTTCATGTGAATCAGATGAGGTCAGAGCTTGAGTCACGTACCATGCAGCTGCAAGCCGAGAAAGAAACGTATGAGAGACTACAGACACACAATCACCAAAGAGGTAAGGATACAGAGATACAGATTTTATATTATTTATTACTGTGTTCAAAGCAACAATTTCTATTTCTAGTATGTAAAGCTGAAGACAAAAAAATTACATTAAAAAACATGTAAACTGTTTCATCACAGTGTAATCTGTTTAAGTTATTCCAAAGTGTTATTTTCGTTAATATACAGATGGAGATGCTCATATTTCATGACCCGTGTCAAATAGTTTTAAATAGGTTTTTCAGGAATGGAAAAAAATCCATTTGACTTCCAGTGGTTTTGTGAGTAAAGAGAACATTGTTTCTTTGCTTCTTATTGAAAATGGAAGTTTATCAGCTAGCAAAGAATTACTAACACTACAGTTTCAAAGAATATTAGTCATAACTTATTGAATTTCCAGATGTATCAGTGCAAACTAAATTTGAGGCTATGAAAAATGACAAAGACAGACTAAAAGAAAAAAGGAAGATATACTTTGAAATGAGGTATTTTTTAATCAGTATAAGGCTGCATTCACAGTGACTGTTATAATTGTAATTAATTGAAAAAAGAGAGAAAGAACTTTTAGTTTGTCTCAGAAAATGCTTGATTTTCCCACCTCCACACCCTGAGCTTCAGAGCTAACTTGACACTAACCTCTTCACTGTAGCCTATCTTCATCGTGTCAAGTAACCTCTGACCAGATTCGATTGCCTCCGCCGCCCGCCAATCAAATTTAAAAGCCCGCACTCAATGACTCATTAAACGATCTAGCCAATGAACGCGAACGAGTCAAAGCGCGCTTTGTTCAAATCCGGACCAATCAAAGATAAGGCTGAATATCAGGGACTTGCCGTAACCTGTGGGCAGCACGCAAATAACATCGTCTCTCAGTAGATAATGATGCAGGGCCTCAAACTGCTAGACCCTATGGTTTCAATTCCGATTTACTCATATTTTGCAAAGAATCAAGAGATAACTTAACACATTCTTTTTCGTAGTCACTCGCCTTGCTTTCTTTGTGTACGGTAATACACTCGGAACTACTCGGATGTCTCCGCACTCGACAATAACTATGTTGTTAGTATGGAGCTTGCGGGATCAGCCGAGGATTGCCGATTGACGGTCAACCAATCAGCGTTTTCACCAAACTTTGGTGAAAAATTTTGAAACATGGATTTGATAGCTTATATAAACTAGGTCAAACTATTTTCGTCAGAGGTTACTTGACACGATGGAGATAGGCTACAGTGAAAAGGTTAGTGTCAAGTTAGCTCTGAAGCTCAGGGTGCACCTCCACCTTTATCCCTAACATTTTGCCCACATCGAATATTATAAAAGAAACTCTGTGCTGTCCTCCTACCTGTTAAAACACATACCTGTGCCCTCCAAGTCAATATCTTTGTTTAACAGCATATAATTTACACCAATTTCTTCTTGATCATAATTTACAAAATTTTTGTGAACACAAATTTTTATGAAACATCTACATCAGTCAATAAATCATTTTAATATGATGATTTCAGGGAACAGTACCTTAAAGCCAATGCACAGTTGATTATGAGGAAGAAACAGTTGATAGCAGATTTAGCTTTTTATATTTATCCACTGAGAGAGGTAAGGTGAAGCTATTCAAGTTCTTCTTTGATGCAGGGTTATTATTAGTAGAGAGTTAATGTCTTATTGTTATGGTAATTTAATTTCCCTGAAGATGGTGTCTCCTGAGACACTAAAATATATAACTCTTGAGTTTAGTTATCATTTGAAGGAAGTTTTAACATTTAAAATTTTTTTTATGCATAAAGCAGCTGCTACTAAGGGTTACTGTATTATAGAAGTTAAAACTGATGCTTGTGATACATAATATTGTTTGAGCGAGGATCTTTCTTTCTTTTATTTATTGAATTTATTTATTGAAAAGTTCTGACATAATTTTCTCTCATTGGTTGATTGTAATAGGAATTTTAATCTCATAAAATAAATTTTTTAAGTTTCCGTTTTGCATGATTTTATTTTGTTTTTCTAGGAAAAAAATGGAATTTTCACAATAGGAAAGGTTAGACTTCCAAATTCAGAGGATTTCCAAGGTACGGCAGCTTTAATACATGACCTGCAATGTCTAAAGAAAATATTAAAACAGTTAAACAGTGTTTAAGCAGTGATATTCTTTAGTCTACACAATTTTAAATTTATTCATATTTATAATTGAAAATCAGTATGTTTCTTGTGACTGTTAACTTCTCAACTCTGAAAAAAATTCTGCATGCAAATTTCACTCGGAAAAATAATATGAAACTTTTTCTGTTCAGGTCAAGATGAGACCATGATTGCTGTGGCGCTGGGCGCTACTGCCCACATGGTTCAGATGATAGCTCAGTTTCTGGACATTCCACTTCGATATGCCATAGATCACCGCTGCTCCAAGTCCAAGATACGAGATCATATCACTCCTAAGTTACCTGATAAGGAGAGAGAGTGAGTTTTATACAATGATTTTGTATCGTGGTGTTTGTATTTGTTAAATAGCTGAAATGGGAAATATTGAGGCAAACAAACAGGCCCTGGAATAAGAGAGATGAAGAGAATACTGAATCAAAGAAATCCCCATCATGAAAATATTTTTGTCAAAGTCCATATCATTTTGTAAAATATTATTTTATTTATTTATTTATTTAATTTGAATCTTTTATTATTGTCAGAGCTTTAGAATGAGGTGCTAATGTCCATATTTCTGTCAAACTGCTTGATAGTTCCCTGCTTTTTATTTGTCCAGAATTCATTTAATTTAAGTGATAATGTGTATATTTTTTTTCATTTCAGCTTTCCACTGTACGGGAAGGGTAAAGACAAATTCCAGTTTAACTACGCTGTGTATTTGTTAAACAAAAACATTGCCCAGGTTGGTGATATTTCCCCTACTATTTCATTTTACTTTGAACAAATACATGCAGATTGTAAAATATATATTTTTCTTTAAATTCTTTAAATTATATAGAATGTTTTGTCAGACTTAGTAATTTTTTGTTTTGTTTTGCAGTCACTAAATATTTAATTAAAAAAAGTCAAACTTCCAGCCCAGCTGCTAAGAATTTATAAGTGCATAATTTGAAAAAAAAAAAAAGAAATAAAAGATAATTAAAAAAAACAAACATTTATTTTGTTTCAGCTGCGTTACTACTGTGGGTTGGGAACAACAGATCTCAGATTAACATTGCCAAACTTACAGAGCCTGCTAGAGCTCAGGCTGGGGGTGAAATTGTGAGTATCCAGAGATTTTAGCCCAGTGGGTTTATAGAGTCAGTGCATAAGAATAGTATTTGTAGTATTCATTTGTCTTTTTTTTTATTCTTTAAAAACATGACAGATGTGAAAGCTATTTTTCCACAAAATATAAGGCTCTTAGTGAACATTTTGGTGAATGTGGTGGCATTGAATAGTCGGTCAGTTTATTTTGGATGAAAATGCAGATTTTGCCAAGCCATTTAGATAAACTGGGTTTCCTCAGGCATCTGCATTAATATGATAATAATATATAACTACAGATATTCTCTTTCACACAGAGGGAGGTTAAGGCAGGATTCACAGTAACTGGACATTTAGACATAAATATAAATATTGAAGATGATTACATTTATACAAGAATTATTATTATTGGAATTTGATTAAAATATATTTTGTGTATTACAGAGACCAACCAGGCACTATTGATATGTCTCAGAAGCTCAGGATTCCTATGGACTCTCGTCTTGTCAGTCGTCAGGGCTCAGTGCAGAGTTTTTCTTCCATGGGATCTACCAGGGACTCCAGCGTAAACTTTGCTTACACCCAGGAATTTGAAGATATTTTGGCTGAGGAAAAAGGAAAACACAGTGGCAGGGAAGTTCCCAGAAAAGACATGCAACAGTCTGTTTCCCGACAGCATAGTGTCGTTTTTAGTGACCTCAAAGGTCAAAGGTCACATTCGCTCTCCCCAGATAGGCTGGGAGTAAATAGGGCAGTGATTCCGGGTCAAGATAATTTGCGAGTTTCAGGCAGTCAGGCAGCTAAAAGCAAAAGAATATTAGATGAAAGCTCAAGTCAAGAAGTGAGTAGAGATGATTCAGTTTCTAGGTCAGACCCTGAATCTGATTTAAAGGATGTATCACATTTGGAGTTGAGGGGTTCTGGCATTCTTCCTACAACATTAGCCACTGGGAAGTTAGAAGACATAGATGCTGGGTCATCAAATGATGAGAATCCGCATTCAGAATACGAGTCTGAATTCAAACAGTGGCAGAAACGACTGTCGAATGATGAGCCTTGTGAGATCACTAGCCACTCTGGAGCCTCTTGTGAAAAAGAAGCAAGTCAGCTTGTGGAGACATCTGGTGTGGGAAATAGAAAATCACTTAGTGGACAAACAGTTGTGAATGCAGATGACACAAAAATTAAACAAAATGGCAATGTTGGGATGGTTGCAGTTGACAATAATATCCCACCGAACAGCAATTTTAGTGCTCAAGTGAGTGAGGACAGTGAATCACAGACAAAAAGGGCATTTCAAAATTTCCAAATTCCTCAAAACTGTGATACTCATCTGCAAATGCAGAGTGACTATAATATAAGCAATGGTGCTGCTCAGAACAACAGTTTAAAGATGGCTGCCAACAGCACAGTAGAGGGCGCTGTGATGTATGCAGAAGACACTATGACAGCCATGGAAAATGACATAATTACTCAAAGGACATTGAGGCTTGAATCAGGGAGCCGAAGTTTTCGATGGCAGCCACCAAGTTCTGAGTGAACATTTAGTTTTCAATCTCTCTTTTGCTATAATGAGTCATTTTTGTCAATGTCCAAAACATGTAGAATGAACTTGTGTTTTTGGGTCAAATATCAGTTGGTCATAGCTAAGGGGCAGATAGATTTGCTGTTTCAAAATTAAGTTGATATTCATGTTAAACCAAGTGTATGTGCACCTTATTTCAAAGAATAACTTTTAAAAGTTTTTTTTGTTTTTGTTCCACATGCACTTTAGAAAATATAAAAAATGTTTTGTGACTACTGTTGGAAATATTTTAAATTGTGACTATCAGAAGAGCCTTTCTATTTGTAAAATTTCTAAGGGGCATTTTGTATTCCAAGGGTCCTTTTAGTTGTAGTGTTTGTTGGTCCTTAACTTGATGTTTGTTCAGTAGGCCAATTTTCTGCATTTCAGTGGCAAATGCTGTTTTAAAATGGGACCAGTTTCCACATGCTATATCCTTATATCCAAAAAACATTCAGACTTTGAACAACTGTTCCATTTAAATTTATAGACAACTGAACATTCATATTTCATGCCCATAAAACTTACAACTAATTCCTTTCTTTTCCCTTGCAAAACCTTTTTCTTTTTCATCAGAGCAATGAACCTTGGGAGCAATGGAATTTGAGCATATAATCCTTTGGACTTTGGAACCCTTCCAGTTCCTATATTGCAATATATTTTACGCAATATTTCAGTCAGTTTTCAGAGTTGTGACTTCAAATAGCTATTTTTTCTTTATATGATCATGGATTAATTTTTATATTAAAAGAAATTTTGTTCTGGATTGGAAAGATGTCTGTCTCTGTCAAATGAGAGCACTAGGGATTTAAAGTAGTTAAAATGTTTTCTTATAACAAACAATTAATGAACAATCGCATGCCAGTGGAAAATATTACTTTTTTTTTCATGAAAATATCAAAATAAATTTATTTTGTGGGTTGCTGTATTTAGGAAATTGTGCAGAAATCTGTCCCATAATTGGCAATGACTTAGGGCACTATGTAAGGTAATATGCTCCCTTGTCTTTTCCTCTATCATGTGTAATTTTTCTGTCAACATGTCTTATATGTTGATGTCTTAACTGTGATTAATGAGATGGAAAAAAATTAAATATCAATGTGAATTTTAAAGAATTGTCTTATTTTCAATTTATGTTGAAAACATGAATATAAATATTGAATTGTGAGAAATATTTTTAAAAAGTCCTTTAAAAACTTAGATTTTTATAAATGTCATTTTCATGCAGAATATGTTTATAAGTTTATTTTTTATTTTGGAATGCGGGTGGATCAGGGATTATTTGAAGGGGGGATCTGCGGATGTGAAGCCGACCCTCCCCCTTGGCATGGGGTTCGGGTCATGCTGAAGGTCCCCAAATTATTTTGGAGTTTTGAAGGTCAAACGGTGCCATTTTAAACAGTTAAGAACTAAAAATCAGCTAAATTCTAATTTCATGAGGGGAATATTAGTGTCTTTTTTTTTTCAGAAACTGAATTAAATGCACATATTGTGACAAATGGGGCGTTCGTGATTTTTCTTTTCTTTTATAATTCGTTTTTTTTTTTTTTTTAATTATTAGGATTGTTAAAATATTTATAATTAAAATTAAAGTTTATAGTACAGACAAAAAGGATCGACAGTTTGACTTGTCTTGAAAAAAGCGCCACCTTCAGTTTGGACGTTTATTTTGCGGGATGAACAAGTTGCGCGTGCCTCGTTACGTTATGTCGTATTGTCTTCCGCAATATGGAGCGTTTTATAGAAATTCGGCCCATTTCATCCGAGGATATCACTTTACTTCAGAGTTTGAATTTACATTGGAGTTACACCTGAAGACGACAAGATGGCTTTATACAGTTCAAGAGTTGCTTGCTGAAATAATTGTTACTTCGTCGCTTGGTTTCTCTTATTTTTCTTTTACCACGAAGTATCATGGTGGATAGTATAAAAGCAACTCTTATATTGGTGCGAGCTTTGTCATAAGAGCGTAGACAATTTACTATTCTCTTCGTAATGAAAATACAAATACACGCTCTTCTTGTCCTGGCGGTCATCTGTAGTGTTCTGCGCCCGTTTGCTGTCGCCAAGGGAAACGCAGGTAAGATACTAGCAAATTATGATAAAATTTGGGACTTTTGCAAATTGCACTATTTCATCCACCCTGTAAGTTTTTGATTCCCAATATCTTTAAAATATTTGAGCAGTATCTACAAGCTACGAATTAATGAGTTTGGCAACTCTTCGACTCGTTTTTCAATTGTTTTCGTGCAGCTTGCCCATTCAAGTATTATGAGAACCAATCAAAATATGCTGTAATGCCATTTAAAAAAACATGTTTGTTTGATGAGCAGAGATGTTGATCAGTTACCACATTAATTTTGACCAACAATTAAAAATGAAAGAGTTAAAGGATGTGGTTTGGGGATGCTGCAAAATATACCCAAATTTCCATAATTTTAAAATAGATTTCTAGGCATGCCAATGGCACTCTATGCCGCAAGAACATGTATAAGACTTTATTTCTTGTGTTTATTACATAACTCGTATAATATATTAATTTTCAGTCTAGTATGTGTCATTCATTAAATATTTCGAATTGGTAACTTAAAGGGTTTTTATGTAGATAAACATGGTTGTGTAAACTGATCTCTCTTAAGTAATGCAACAATTAATTAAGGACATCACATTTTTCCTACAACTGCAAAATGTTATTTTTCCAAAAAAGGGCTGTGGTATAGATATACCATTTCCCCTTTGCTCTTTAAATTCTTACAGACTTTTCTCTTCTTGTTCAAGTGCGGACAAATTGTGCCAGTGAAAACTTGCAATACCAAACTTGTTCAGTTGTTGACCAAGGTACAATACTGTCTGTGTCACTGCACAGGCAGTTATCCAATAGTGAGTGTGTGGAGAGCAGCACATTTGGCATAGACTATAACATACACACAGGAAGTATGTGGGTGTCTAACGGTTGCAGAGGAGAGTTCAATGTTACAACTGGTAATTATGTATAAAATTAATATACTCTACATATAAGAAAATCATTTATTATATTAATGATTATGCTCTCAGTGTTGAAGTCTCCATACTATATTTTTCTTATCTTAATTAGGGATGTGTTATCTTATTTTAATTACTAGCTTAATTCTTTATTCAGACTATATATATATATTGCATTTGTTTTTCATGTCCAGTAAGTTGTGATCTTGGCTGGATGTACTTTAATGGTCAGTGCTACAAGCGAGTGGAGACCTACTACACCTGGTCACAGGCATCAGACCATTGCATGCAACTCGGTGCACACCTGGCATCAATCCACAGTAGAGCCGAACAGGACTTCCTGGTGGAGAATGTGCTGTGAGTTATGTTCAGGCTATGTTCACAGCAGATCTTATTGAAACCAAAAGAAGGGACCGTTCCCATAACCCTATTGTACTAGCTGGATCGATCCAACTCCTCGCTAAATTGCATTAGGTTTAAGCGGTAAATGTCTGGTGCACACCCTCGGGAAAACTGTGTCGTCCATGATGTTGTTCATGTTGCTCTGCGAGGGGGCATGCCAGACAATTAAGATGTCTACATTACTACCTGTGCTGTGGCTTCAGGGGCTTAGCACTTAGGCACTGTTCACATGAAAAATCCAAATTCCAAAAATCCAAAAACCCATTGGCGGTATCTAGTGATCACGGTCTGTGCCCTGAATACCCCGCGGTGTAATTAACTAGTAGTGCGAGCAAGTTACCCGGTACTTCCAAAGCTGTACTTAATTCTCACTCTGGTAGTTAATTATGCCGCAGGGTATTCAGGGCACAGACCGTGATCACTAGATACTGCCAATGGATTTTTGGAATTTGGATTTTTCATGTGAACGGTGCCTTAAACCTCAGAGTCGATATATATAATATGTTTAATGGCACGTGTAGAGGTGGGGAGACCATTAGAGAATTAGCGGCATCTGTTTTAAGTGGGGTCGGTCATATTTAGTAGGTGGATAAGTTGGTCCAGAGATCATCTGTTCTGAATGCTCTCTTGTGTACATATTGATCCTATATGGTTCACTGTTACATACGTATTGATCTTAATTGGGTGAGTGTTGTGATATATATATATATATATGTTTTTTTTTTTCTATTTATTATTATTATTTTTTTAATCCTTTATGGATAATGCCACTGTCTTATGTTCTCAGTAATGGTGCCAGTGGCGGGTACTGGTCAGGTTTACACCTGTTCATTGGTCACTGGTGGTGGGAGGACCATCTTGACCCTGTGGACTTCAACACGGCCTTCTCCAACTGGTTAAACAACGAGGGCGAGATTAGTGAGCTCAGTGGCGGGTGTATGTTGCTGAAAGGATCCAACTGGAAGTGGGAAGACAAGAGATGCCATAACAGCCAGAAGAGCCTATGTCAGATTTGTAAGTGGTACTTCTAAGTTTTCTAAGTCTTCTAAGTTTCCAATACAGTCTATGTAAAAAGTGTATGTTGATTACTGGTGTTGAATACAACTTCTACCACCCCACCCCAACAGAAAAAGAATTATAATTTATTGTCTTTAGAATGAAAAAAAAAATAAACTGCCACAATTTAAGTGCAGTCTATTGTGGTCCATGAATTACTATGACTCCTATCAAAAAACAAGAATACTTTTAAAACTGTGATTTGTTGGTTGTGCCAGTTATAACCTATAATAGTCATAGTGGCTGTGTGATATTCATTGATCTTCAATGCCTTTTATTTTTCCATCTGTTTCAGCTGTCTGTGGCAGTGGTCAGATGCTGAACCCATCAACAGGTGCCTGTGAGCTGGACCATAACATTCTCAGCAGTACTAGTTCATACCCTGGCATCAATAACATTCTCAGCAGTACTAGTTCATACCCTGGCATCAATAACATTCTCAGCAGTAATAGTTCATACCCTGGCAGTGCATTTGATCCAGGTGACCTAAAAGACCGGATGCCCTACCATAATATTTCCCTGGGTTTGACCCCTCCCCCTGATGAGCACTTATATTTGATCAACACAAGTCCAGTGAGGACAGGAGAGGAAGTGACATTTCTGCTGTTTGCAGAGGCGGCATCTGGCGGCAGCTACATCTCAGACATGGGCAGTGGCGGTCAAACTTGGGTGGACATACCAGTGCCCACTGACAATCAGTCACTCCACCAACTCATTCCTACTTGGATGCACTTACCTTTTGATCCAGCAGATGCTTTGATATCAGCGTTCACGCATACTTTTTCTGAAGCTGGCACGTATGATGTTCAAGCGAAACGCAATGCTTCTGGCGAGTACTCACAATTAGTGGTGGAGACGCGGGTTGTAATACAACACACACTCTGTCTGCCACCGCCAGTCATCATCCGAGGCGGAGGACTGGGTATAAATGCCACCATGCCGTACCACAAGAAGGACAGGATCTCACTGACAGGCAATATCAATATAACCTGCAGTGATGTGAAGAGGTCCAGTTTCCATTGGTCAGTTTATACAGTGGGCCGTGCCAAGGACATTATTGACCAGTCTAATATGCTGCGGCTGCCAGATTCCGTTGCTACATCTAAGCCTCATCTAGACCTCCCCAGGTATACCTTACCTGCTGGAATGTACGTGGCTGAGCTACAGGTGAGTGAGGGAATATGCCCTGACATATTTCAAGGGCAGATTTAGGCCATCTTCTGGGTCTTTTGCAAGATGGTCAGATTTTAAAGTTTACATTGACGGGTTTCTAATTTTTTTCTGTTGGAAGATGGTCAAAAATACTACAGAATAGATCAATAAAGATAATTGGGAAGACTGTCAGAAAATACCTCTGGATCTGTGTCTGTATTTGGTGTACATATTACCTTTTCAATGGATTTTATGTCATCTGTATTTTATGTTTTTCCAGGATTTAGAAATACATCTACATAGAATATTTTTTATTGTTTTTCGATGATTAGATGGTAATGTCCTGATATTTTTAAGAAATGTGAATTCTCTGATAAGTCCACACCCGGGCAGCCATATCTAAATAATCCTTTTCCCTCAATTACTTTTTGAAATGCCTGCATGTGCTCTGACTTCCTTTGGTACACAAGTTTGACAAAAGTAAACCTCATCCAATACAAAAGATCATATGTAGATACCATGATTTTGTAGAAGGGCATGTCATAAAGATAGTTGAATATACCTTTCTAACATGTGATTGGCACAGTTAACTTCTGCCAAACAATTAAGGCTCAAGTCCAAATACAACATTGACATTTGAAAACTGGCCAGGTGGTCACCTCTGTTCCTCTGTAATTGTCACAGCGTTTATGTTATCTGTATTCAGGTCACATTGCACACCAGCACAGACATTGTGATCAGCATAAACCAGACATGGTTCACAGTGGTGCCATCTACAATTCTGAATGCTGTCATCACAGGGGGAAGCATGGTCACTGTAGGTGAGGTATATGGAGTAGTGTGGAAAATCAGGAAACTTATATTAATTTATGTGTAGGTTGGTATGAAAAAGCTGACAATTTTGGATGGATTGCAAGACTTGGTGTAATTGTCAGTGAAATATTTTAAATTTGCATTTTTTCCCCTTGTGAATACAGTATGTGCTTTATCTGAATTATCACCATGCAGAATCAGTAATTTTCTGTTTTGTTTTTGACCTTTTCTTTTGGCCCAAATAACAGAATAAGTTGACTTAAAAAGTGGAGCATATATTATTGTTGTGGAATGTGCATTAAAATCTGTTCAACTCTCAAAAAACTGACACTAATAATTTACACTTTTTGTGAAACAGTCCCACAAACTCTGGCAAATACAGCATAATAAATCTTTGTTTGAACTTGTTGTGTCTCTGAAGGTTCAGAACAGGTGATCAGGATCAACGCCTCCCTGTCTGGTGACCCTGATGTCAAAGGGGTAGACACACAGCTCAAGTTCCAGTGGTTTTGTACTTTAGAGAGCCAAGATTTCCCTGAGAACCTCACTGCTGACACTGGGAGTTCTGGAGGTACTACACTGAAAGACTGGGTTCCCATGCCTAGATCAATCTAAAAGTATCGATCCATCTCCAAGGATTTTCTCGCTAATTTGCTTTTATTTTAAACGTCCGGCTTAGATGTCTGACATGCCTACTGAAGTGGCTATATGAAAGTTAATTACCCCCTAACAGCTTCAGTGCGAGACATCTAAGCCACTTAAGCTGATAGCAATTGAGCAAGAATTCCCTCCGAGATAGATCGATCCACAGTTAGCACAATAGGGTCTGGGAATTTTATGGTACCATATTAGATATTCCTTATGATGGTATTCATGGGGTATAGCAGGATTTTTGACCTCCTAGTAACTGACTTTAAATTTATTTTCTAAACAGAGACAGGCCGTCTAGACTCCATGTCCTCCAATAATAAAAATCTATGAAAATGGTGTTCATAACTGAAATAGGGTGTCCAAAAGAGAGCTGTATGTATGATTGCCTGGCTAAGCTCCTGTAATATAGTATTTTTACAGCATTTTACTGACTACTTTATCTGTAGTGCCTTGATTTTGTGCTTAGAAAAGGGAATAAATAAAGTTTTTCAGAAAAGAATTAATTAAAGCAAAAATTGTAATTGTGTCCACACAGGCTGCACTGGCCAAGGCTACAGTATTGGTGGGAATTCATCTGTGCTGGAACTGCCCCCAGGGATACTGCCAGCTGGACAGAGCTATGTGTTCAGGGCACTGGTCACCAAGGACGGTCACTCTCCAGCCTCTGCTGACCAGCAGGTCAAAGTCATGGCGGGGGAGCCACCACAGGTTAGTGTGTGTGTGTGTGTATGTGTGTGTATGCGTGCATGTGTGTGAGTGTATGTGTGTGCATGCATGTGTGTATGGGTGCGTGCAAATATGTTAAAATTTAAGAAAAATAGTTTATCCTAACTTTTTCTCCTGTTATGAAGTGAGGACATCCTGCAGACAACAAGAACTGCAGCGACTATCTCATTTACCCCATTCACAAAAATTGAAAAATATGGATTGTGTTTTTTTTTTTTTTTTTTTTTTTTTCAATTTCAATTTATCTCTCCATTTCACAGGTGAGGATTACCTGCAGACAGAATTGCGACACCTACCTGAACCCCAGCCAGCGCCTGTCACTGACCACCAGCTGTGACCGCTGCCGTAACCTGGACACCCTGACCTACACCTGGTCACTGGTCCCCCAGTCACTGACCAACACTAGGCAGGCACTGGACTGGAGGCTGGACACACTGACCGGTGGGAACAAGAAGAACTTGGTGATCAGAGAGAATGTATTCAGTGCTGATGTGGAGGAGACTTATAGTTTGAGACTGGAGGGTAGGTGTGATATATTTTTTAAATTATTCATTTTTCAATGAATTGACTGATTATTTGATCGATTAAATTGATTGATTCAGCCATTTTTTACTACCTTTGTGAAAACAGATTAAAATTTTTGTTATATTAAGTTGAAGAATCTACAAGTGTACTTAAGTATTAATTCTGTGAAAAAATAGAATCTGAATGAATTATTTCAATTTGACAATGTTACATTGCACCTTTAATTAAATGAGTGCATTTTTACAAGTTTTCTATGATATATCTTTTATAATATACAAGTCCTAATACTTGAACATTTTCTTTAATATTTTCCCCCATGAACTCGACAATATTTCCATGCCAAAAGGTACTCTCATTCATCACATTAATAAGTAAACCATGTTACCTGACCTTCCAGCCTACAGCAGGTCCAGCGGGTCAACAGGTCAAACAGAGTACCAGTTCTCCACCAACTCTCCCCCTACCGCTGGTCAGTGCACGGTCAGTCCAAGCCAGGGGACGGTCCTGGTCACCAAGTTCTCCATCCAATGTACAGGGTTCCTGGACAGCCACCTGCCACTGCACTATGAGTACAGAGCCAAGGTGGACAACAGGGAGAGCTTGCTGTATTCTGGGCTAGAGTCCACCATGCCGGCCAGTTTTCTGCCCCTGGGGGACAAGAGGAGGGAGTACAGATTGGATCTGATGGTCACTGTGAAGGATTCGTTCGGGGCTAGCACCTTCGTGGAACTGTTTGCCAAGGTAGAACTGCTTTTTTCATTTTAATTGGAAAGATATAGCACACATGCATTTAAGATTTGACACTTGAAAAATGATTAATGCAGTAGTGTAAGGATGAACAATTGTAACTGCTTTTTCATTTTAATTGAGAAGACATATATGGATACAGGCCAGTAACCAGCATATTCGAAGGGAGGGGCTTTTTCTAAAAAAGTGAACTTTTTGCTATGAAACCTTTGTGCTCCTTGATCAGATTTTACCCCCGAATTTGAACCACCTTAAGCCCTCCACTCCCACCACCTAGGGACCTGAAATATAATAATTATACATTTGTAAAATTTTCGTCTTAAATTAAGGTTGAAGAGGGTCAGATGGACAACACGGCCCTGGCTGGCCTGACATCCGGTGAGAACTCCACTCTGAGCACACTACTGCTGTCTGGGGACACTAGCGCCGCCACACAGCTCATCTCTAGTGTCACGTCACTGCTGAACTCACAGAGTGAGAAACAGACCGACACAACTGGGGTGTCCAAGCTAGAGAGACAACAGGTCTGTGATGTGGTTTGTGCTGTGAAAATACTTCTTAATAAGTACATATCTGAATCATATTACTACATTTTTTTTAATTTTAGTATTGTTATATTTTAGTTTTCTTTTTTTTTTTTTTAAGTTTTGTTTAGATGATTTTGATTTAATTTTTTCAGGATAGTTCCCTTATCTGACTGAATTGATTAATATCCTTTTGATGTACAAGAACAAGACCATTTTTTCAGTTCAGTTAAAAAATATATATTTGCAGATTTTTAAAAAAAGCTGACAGAAAGCAATACAAAATTAGTACTACACTTCTCAAACTAGGATTTATTTAATTATTATTTAATTTAAAATTATAACTTCTTGCTTCAAAGCTGCGTACCAGTCTGGTGGAGTCTCTGCTGACAGTGGAAGTGGAATCAGTGGAGTCTCTCCAGCAGACGTCAGCTGCCCTAGAGAGTATCACGCAGGTCACAGAGGAGCTGAGCGCAGAGGCTCAGGTCAGTGCCGCCACCGCCTGCAAGGAACTGTCTGCCTTCCTGACCAGTGAGGCCGGTGCTGAGCTGGACACCAAGACGCTGGAGGACACGGCTGGGTAAATGAATTGACAGTTTGTGGACAGATTATTTATTTATTTATTTATTTATTTATTTATTTATTTATAAAATTTAATGTTCTTAAAATGTTAAAAGCAGTCTACCAGTAGAACCATCATTTTGATTTTTTATTCATTATATGAGCTGACATTATCAAAGTTTCAAAAGTGACATCTGTTTTATTTCTGTTTTTAACTTCAAATATTAAACTATAAAGGTAGTATTAATTGTACCACCAGCGTAGGCGCTGGCGGTACACATGGTTTTAGTCCCGACCCGTATGTTCCGCCGGCTCCTGCGGCTCCGCCGCCAAGTCACCGTTACCACTTCTCCTCCTAGACGGTAATGGCCTCCATACCCATCTCTTGGATTTAGGTCACCTATAATCTCAACTCGTTCCACGTAAAATTTGGGCTTTGTCGGTATTGGGGTCTAGGTGTGGCACTCATTGCAATGCACCCTTGTCCAAAAATTGCAAAATTAAATGCTAATTATCTCCCCTACGGAAGGAATTATGGGAAAAANCTATTCCATTGCTGTTACACCGGTGCTGTGTGTCGCTCTTTAATTCACGACCAGACAAAGCACAATGGATTATTGAAAAACAATGTGAGGGAATATAACGTTTACTATGTTATGTTGGACTCTTCGACGTAACTGCTACTGTTTTCCACACACGTCGGTTTTCGAACGGCCAAAGGAGCTAAAATGAGAAATAAAAACCCTCTTGCACCGACAACTTTAAAATTCACTTTACAGCTTTATTATTAATTGATGTAATGTTACTGTGTCAAATGATATTTTTCTTGGATTCAACATTCCTTTGCTTTCAGAGGAAAAATAATTAAAGAAGATGTTAAATTTAACATGCCCCTGAGGTTGTGTTCAGTCTGTTTTAACAAAAACCGTTTTAGGTCTTATAGGTCTTTGAGCTTAAGGACCATTCCCACAGATATTTGGACTGATCTATCTCCCTGGGGAGTCTCACTAAATTGCTATCAACTTAACCGGCTTAAATGTCTGTCACGCCTAGGAGAGCTGTTAGGGGGTAATTATCTTTACCCTAGCTAGTTCGGTAGGCGTGACAGACATTTAAGCCAGTTAAGTTAATAGCTATTTAGTGAGACTCTCCAGGGGTTAGACGAATGTCACCTGTTCAAAGTAATGGGGAAGGGACTACGTACGGTTCCTAGCGGACTATCATTCCTGTCACAACGGCTAAGTACATTTGCTGTATTTTCTCTCCGCTCACATGTTGACCATTTAATCCAAAAATTACAGATAAAACAATGGATTGCAATTAAGTCAGTTATTGGTATTTACCTATAATGAATGACAAGGCACCTCCAAGTAATGTGAACACTGTCACGGCGGCAGTGACGGTGGTTCTCTGTGACACGGGAAACCAGACATTGGATAACAGAGGGCCCGCCGCGCAGCAAACCCCGCCAGAGAGACCGTTTAGTACGTGCCCAACATGGATCAGCATATAGAATTGAAAAAAAAAATTATATACATATAATTGAGGTCATTTTTAGTGCGTTTTGTGGGTTGAAAACCTTGACCCTGACATGCGTTTTACCCGAATAAGTGAAAATCAAAGAATGAATTAATGGTCTCAACGGTTCACACCAGTTAATGTTACTGCATATGCAAATAAAGCGACATGTACTCTCATGAGTGTGAAAACAACAAGAAACGCAAGAAGGTTCAGTACGTGATGGTCACAGTCTATAACACCACATTTTGTAATTTAAAAGTGTTACGTATTAAATCTGTGCTGTTGGGTGAATCAGGTGATCATTCGACGTCTCTGCACAGCGCGTTACCATGTTGCCATTCTTGGTTCCATTGTAATGCAACGGCATGCAGCCCCCGCGGCGACAAGAAAACTGGCTCCGACGCACGCCCATCTCATACCTGTAAATGTACCACTAAACCATTTAAAGGCAGATCGGGTGTGTGTGTGTGTGTGGTGGTGGGGGGGGGGGGGGGGGGGGTTAGGAAACTTTAAAGCCCCCCCCCCTTCTCCCTTTTTCCCCCCAGGAAAAAAAAAAAAAAATTTTTT